CTTTTTGGCATCTAACAAGTAATGGAAAAAATCTACTCGTGACTGGCATACAGCTTTTAGCTTTTCGCATCCTCTTGCACATGTTCTCTCTGGTTTTGCACTTTTCAATTTTTAATTTTTGGCCGGACTTCTTATTTTAATATTTCAATTCAATTTTCTATAACTGATAGAGCAAGGATTTGGTTTGGTGCTTTCTCCCCCCGTACTTTGGGCCTACCTTTTCCCATTCAAAGGTCCTTTTTCCCCTTGTGTTGGTGGAAGCCTGGTTTTAGACGCCTGGTTTTCTTATGTTCATTATTCCTTTTACCTAGATAAGTATATTATGAAATTCTTTTGAAAAATTACTAACTCAGTATCAATGTGTTGGAAAATACGTAGTCATTTAATCCGAACAAGAAATAATTCGCGATTTAATACAAAGGTGAACTATATTTTAAAGCAGTAAAAATCAATTAATCCAAAGTATACAAAGCATAGAAAGTGGTAGTGTAATATTGTTCCCAAGCTTTGAGCTCATTATGATCCCTATAGTGATAATTACTTAATATTTATGATTCATATATGTAATGCTTTAAATGATTATAAAAATGAATTAAAATATTATGAACACCATGATAGATTTATGTAAAATAAATCAAATAAAATTCAAGAAGAGTTAATAAATTTGAAAAATTCTCAGGTCAAGTCCATTAATAATAAATTTCAACTACAAATACACAGCACACAAAATTGAAAAGTGGACAAATTTAATTAGTTTAAATTTTGATTAAAAAACGGCAAATTGAGAATCGTGCGTTCGGGATCCATTCTTCTCTTCCTCTTCTTCTCCTGTTTTCCCCCCCTCCAAAATGCACTATGGTCATTTTCCAAATAACCATCCAGTAGAGGGAGATCCCCAAGTCTAACCCCACTCAAAGACTTTATCTTTATGGCCTTTAGTCGATATGATGATTTAAATGGGCCTGGCTTGGGCTTCAGCTTCTGGAGCCCATTTATATAATTTTTCTTTAAAAAAAAGAACAGTGAGTGCATACTGTTGCACTACTACACAAAACTCGCTAGGAAAATATATTAGATAAATATAAGCTTAATATAATCTTTCATCTATCAAGTTTGTTCTCATTTTGATTTTGATCTCTCAAATTTTAAATCATAGGTTTTGGTCTCTTGAGGGGCAAAATGATCCAGGTATTTATTAAATTATAGGAATCAATGTTTTAAATAAACAGAAATTTGAGGGATCAAAACTTATAATTTGAAACTTAAAAGACCAAAAATAAAATAAGAATAAATTTAAGAGACTAAAAAAATATATTAACCCATAAATATATTAGTCCTGTCTTAAAAAACTCATTTTCAGTAAATAAAAAAACACCGTTGAGATTTAAACTTGCAACAACAGGCATATTTGGTTTCACTACTAAATGGATTCTTGGATAGTGTTTTGGCCAATGAATATTAATTTTTCATACAATGAAGACATTTTATATTGTTTAGGACATCAATAACATGAAATCTTACGCCTCAAAAGAGTTATTTTTAAACCTCATTTCCTTTGTACTAATTTTATTCTGATTAGCTCATCGTACAATCATGTTCTTCTTCCGAGGACCAGATGAGGGTGGAGCACTAAAGCCCGCGACAGCTCAAAAGTTTTGTCTGGCAAATATAACAGAGCACTTTTGGTTAATCGGAGGGAAATAACATGTGATCTGCCTTTTTCTTGTATTCTTTTGAAGGCTACTTAGAGCTGTTTTATTTTTTGCCCTTTACGTCCTTAAAGCTGTTATAAAAAATGATATTACAAAAAAAAAGGTTCTTAAAACAAGTATATAAAGTAATTTTTTGAGTATGGAATTTGAAAAAAAAAATTAAAAAAATGTTTGAATTATTATTTTAAAAACACATCTAAAGTGGTGAAATGAATGATGGGAAAATTGTTTTCTTAGTATAGTTATCATTATTGACAACATTGTATTCTCAGTCTCTTTGTTTGATCTTATATAAACAAAAGTAACAAAATATCTAACAAAAAGTAATAAAATATTGAAAAGATGTTAGTTTTTTCAAAATAAATTTTAATTTTTTTTCTCACAACACATAACTCGTTTCATTGGCCAAAAAAACTAAGTTTATTTTCAAACATATTTTTTGATTTACTTTTGTTATTCAAAACAAAAATTGTTTAAAACTCTTAATTCGCCATATTTTTTCTCATCAACATCTTAATTACTCTTTATCCGTAAATTATTAATTGCGACAACTTTTCTTCTTCTTCTTCTTTTCCTTTTAATGATTTACAATTACACACATTCTGCTTTTCATCAGCCAGCAATCGTGATGATTGACAAGATTAGATTGATTACCTTTAGTTAGTTGAAACATCAACCATCACTTTTTGCTGCAGAATTTCCTATGCGAACCATTTGAAAATAAACAACACCTCACAAATGCTGTCATAAAACACTTGCTCTTTGCCAATAATTTTATCCCGTGCAACCCAAGACCGCAATATTAAAAGTGAGACTGGTAATGATAGACTAAACATGTTTATAAATAAAAATAAGGCGTTACAAATTCATTCATTTATGTTGAAGTGTTTCTCATTCTGTTCAATCTTTTGGTAATAGTTTGTACTATGTAGAGGCTGAAGAATTAATGTCTTGTATCATCTTTTAAAAAGCCGTTTTGTGAATTAACCATTGATTATGGACATTTTGTCGTATGCCCCTACCATTTTTTGGGCACATAGCCTTTTTCTATACAAAACATCAACTTTCTTCAAAATTCAAGAAGAGCCATGTGCATGCTTCTGCCCATGAATCAATTATTACTCAAAACTAATGAGTTAGCTCAAACTTGGTTGCATTTATCAGAAAGAAATAGAATCATCTTGCCTCTACTTTTATCCTCAACAAACATTCTCTGTTCTCATCTTCATCTGGTTCTTTTTTCCTTTGCGATGGAAAAGGACTAAACCAATTATACCGTATTAACCAACTTGTGCCCCAGATCTTAGTAAAGGCACTATCTTTTAGTGCAAACATCAAAACCAGTAACTCATCTAACCATCAAGCATCATGTTTACTTGAATACTTAGCATCAGCTTATAGTCAATCCATTCAAATAACTTCAGTACAATACCATTCTAAGGACTACCAGATTATAAATATTAGCCATAGAAGACTGATAAATATAAAGCAAGCGGTTATACAACAATACAAAGATCAAGGCCAATATGATCCTAGTTAGATCAAGGTTATTCTAGCTAGCAGCAAATGGGGCATTTGACCAGCCCATTCTCGTTGCATTCTGGACATCTGATGCACAATTCATCATTTTCGCCATTGTTGGTGAAGACTTTGCAACTTCCAGAGCAGCTAGAGCAAATAGCAAACCCCATGCTGGCACAGCCAGTGCAAGGGCGATCGGCTGAGTCAACTGGTATTCCTTCCAGAAGCTTACTGAGCCATCCCATCTCATGCAATCCGACCACTTCATCAGCTCCTCCGATGTACCTACCTTTGATGAATAGCTTGGGAGGGATCACTTTGCTCCCCAAGATCTTCCAAAGCTCCTCCCTGTATTCTAAGTGCAGAGACACATCCCTTTCAAAGTATAATACTTTTAAGCTTCTCAGCAAGAAATGAACTGTCTTGCAGTCCTGATAGGTTTTCCTTATGCCTCTCAGACTTGTTGTGTAGAGAATTACTGATTGGCTTCCCCCTGGTGGGCATATCTCCTCAAAATCTGTCAGAGACGGGCATAATAATCTGCTGTCTTGAGTGATGTTACTTTCCATTACGGCTTCTGGCAAGGTAGGAGCCACTGGGTTTTGCTTTTCAAGCTGTGTCTCCTTGGACCCTGTGGTGGATGTGACCTTGTTTTTGCTGCCAAGACTGAATTCCGGCTCCATTTCTTCTTTCTCAGCATGCTTACCATCTTCACTTTCATTAAGGGTAACATCCAGCTCAATCAGGTGGTTGCCCTTGAGATCTTGATCATCACAATAAGATGGTGGGGTTGCATATTTCTGGGTGTAGAATATCTCTGGAGGATTGCACTGAGAAGCCAGGCCTTGTTTCAAGTTGCTGAAAGCTGGGGCGAGTTTCAACTTCCTAAGCAACCTGCCTCTCATTGTTTTCACGTCTTCTAGCTCTGTGAACCGAGATGGCATTTGTTGTTGCCCACTAAAAAGAAAGAAGAAAAGTAGAGGTGAGAATGACTGGTCGTATGAATGCTATATAGAGGACATGGTGGGCCGACGATGAGCTCTCCTTTAAGCCTTCCAATGACTATGATATAAAGTGGAGACTGAAAAGCTGTTTAGTGTTGGGTAGCTTTACTAAGTAATGAATTATCACTGCATGGTGTGGGGGCAAAGCTGACTTATCTCTCTCCCTCTCCCTCTCCCTCTCCCTCCCCTTTTTATCTGATTAGAATGCAATGACCTATTACCTACCATTTGGTGCCTCAATCATGGTCTGATCCATGAAGGATACTTGTCAACTAGAAACAAATTAAGTGGCTAAAATTCCCCTTTATGATTCGATGATGAGGAACCAATTTACTCTTTAGCTCAATATGACAATATAGCATATGATTCTGTGGGTTAAATAGCCACTTAACACATAGGGAGCCTGGGGCTGGACCACAACATCCACACCTTATTGCGCAATTCAAAGGAGACAAAATGTGCCAGTGGCCATGATTCGGCCCCAATTTTGTTAAATAGCTACATCCTTTAACAAACTAGAATCCTCGAGATATGCATTTAAGAAACCAGACCGAACCTTATTTCCCAAAGCATCATCGGAGTTCTAATCCTACAATCCGCCATCACATGCAACCATCACGCAAAAAAGTGGGAATCCCTAAAGATTAGTTTTGCAAGAAAAAGAAAAGTAAAAAACCAATCATGATTATCACCGTACGCCCATTCCCAGAAGGGCATCATTAACAACCGGTCAATTTTTTAAACATGAAACAAAATTGTGATTAGGAATAGGTATCAACATCATGTATGGATATGGATACGCTTAATGATTATAGAGCAGAGTACATCATATTCAGCGCCAACTTCTGCATGCTTCCACAAGAGCACACTACACAATATTTGGACTCCCAACGTCCCAAATGTGTGAAGGAAGGAAGGGATACATATCATTACACCGCGACTACATCCTCTGAGTACGATATACATGATAGTTTGTAAACCACTAACTGCTGGTCAGGTCTGAGCATCTTACAAATTACAGGGATCCAGATATTGCAAGGGTTGTCTTTACAAATAGTTTATTGTATGTAACCGACAATATATTTCAGGACCAGTACTGAGGTTCACTCAGATATCAGCCACGGAGGAAACAAATCCAATAGTAAATCCAAATTGGATACAAGTCAGCTCATTTTTGTTTCCATCGTACATCTTCATGTTTAAAGAGTAAGAACCCTGCAATCAACAAGTGCGAAACTACAGTAAGGGGCATGGTGTAGCAAATTAAAGTCACATTTCCAGCGCTTTATAGAACATCAGATAAAGAGATGTTGGACTATAACCTTATAATTCAAAAACAAGAACTCCTAACTACAAAATCCATTCTTTTGCGAAATGTAGCTAGAAGGTCTAGAAATTTAGACACCTTGAAGGATGCCCTTTGGATATTAGACAATTGGACAGAGTATGCCATTGGAAAATATGAGTCCGCACTGATAAATGACAAGATGGAGGAAACCAAAAATGAACAGTGTGACCTAAAATGATTGAATAATACATCTAAATCCAAACCACCATTTTGCATGGACAAGGACAAACACAAGCCAACGAACTCATTACTCTAGTATAAGGCGTCTAAATTTACGCACCTTCACAAGGGTTAATTTCAGGACAAATGGCAAAAGACGAGAGAAATGGCAGAACTAACTATTGCCCAAAGTCACATAACCCGCTTAGAACCAATATCCAAGCTATGATTAAATCCGACTTTGATCCAATATCCATAAAAAGAGATGAGCATGAATGTGAGCACGTGCACCACAGGAGATGGAAGTAGAAACTAGAAAGAGCTTAAGGAAGTATTTTGTCTTGTCATAATTAGTTTGATAGGTGCTTCGCAAAGTTTCAGTCTAAAAATATGGTGGGAGTGAAACAATGAGAAGACTATGTGAGGAGGGGGGAAACAAAGATTTAATAAGCACCAATTAAAAATATTGCGAATTACAGTCAAATATCATGATAATACCATTCAATAAAGGTAAGATGAGATACTAAGTTTCGTCAAGAGTCCGGCTGTGTTCCCACAAATGAAATTACCAAATTGGGTCACTGAATGAGGATAATGCTGTCTTACAATTTCCATAAAAGAAGCCAACAAACCAGCAAAGTATCATTGCTGCTAATTACCTACTTTCTAGTGACTAGATGAATTTGTACTCCCAAAAACACATGCATCTATAAAACAACGACTTACAGGAGGAGTGAATCCAGGTAAAAGTTGTGTATGAGCAACCACAAAATCACCGACTGAAACAGGGCAAGTTGTCTCTCCACAAAGATCATGGGTCTCACTGTATATGTGCCACCCAAAGTATGCAACATCGATCACCAGTTTCCCTCCGGATATCGCTTTATCTGAGACAAGACATGAGTTCCGATGTGAATTTTATAATTCAAGGCTTTACCTTTAGTTACCTAAAGAAATACTTGCTAGAGTTTAATATTGTCCATTTGTTAATCACACAATCTTAGTCCTCTCATCTAGTTATTTATGTAAAGAAAGGACATAAATGGAAGAAAGAAAACACTGGAGAAGGACGCCACAAAATGTAAGGTACAATATTTTCCCTCCTCAAATGGTGATATGTTTAAAAGCTTGGGTTAAAGAAAAAGCAAGGACATCCTTTTCTTCACAGGACCCCATACAGTTCCTCCCAAGGGACAAGATTTTGGAAATCCTCCCACATTTGGTAAAGTGACTAATGCTACAAAATTCAAACGGAATTCAGGCTTCCAATTCAACATCGTACAGGAATTAATACTTTAAATTACAACTATTCAAATCCCATGCGCACAAAGGCTCAATTGAATTAAAATAAAGAGGAAACAACGAGCAGATAAGCAAGCAAGATGTGATGATGATGTTGCACAATACCAGTGGTAGCAGCTATGCTGAATGTGGCAGGGTGGCCTCTTGCAATGGGATTAGGAGATATCTCAACTCCTTTGACTTTAACACCATAATCGGTTTTCTTATCTGCATTGTAATCAAATTCTAAGTAAACTAAGGTATGAATTTGTTTCAAAAATGTAAAACATGAAAAATGCCAGCAAAATGTTTCATGAATTCAGCAATTAGGCCCCCCCGGGGGATGCGGATTCTTCCATACAGTCCGTCGATGCCTAGCATTAATGTCAGACAACAAACAAAGATATCATAGTATTTGTCAAACGAATACCCGATCACAAGATAGAAACAGAATTCTATAGGAAATGGAGCGTCTAATGTGAAGTTTCTAGGGAAAGTTTCTTTTATTCATTCCAAGGGGGGAAGAATCCTTTAATCAATTAAGAAATCTATGCATAATCAGGGGGCAAATAAAAAACTATCAGATATCGAAATGGACACATCAAGCACAAGGTATAATATAAACAATGTAATGTAGGAAAACAAAAATCTGAAGAGCGGAAGGGTAAAAGAGAGTGACCGCAGTATTTGACGTCCGTAGCGTGGGCCAACGCTGAAATCAGATAGAGAAATAAAGAGAAGGGAACTATGAACTTAAGGGGCATGATCTCCATGGATTCCGATTCTGCGATGAGCGACGGGCCCAAGCAAGCACGAAGAGATGAAGTATAGAGGGAGAGGGAGGGAGCAGTGCTGAAATAATGAGAGACTGACGAGTCAGTTAGAGTGGTGGGTTGGTGGGTGGCCGAAGAACGTTTGGTATCTATTTGACTGTTTTGACAGGCTTTCCTCGCCTGGCGCGGTTTCTTGTTCAAGTCTTCAACTAAACCGCCAACTTCAAGATTTTCCCTCCTTTTTGGATAACGAAAATAACTATATATATATGTGTGTGTGTATTCTCACCAATTTGCAAATGAAGGTATTAATTGGCAACAATGTCATGTGAGACCTAACTTATAATAATAGCTCTTTTTTTCTGGTGTGTTTTTTAATTTGCTACTGATTTATTTCATATGGTACTGATGTTTTGATCTTGGCTTGACAAAAAAAGAAAATATAGCATACTTAAATTATATCAAATCATCATATTTACTTCTTTTATCATGTTAACTCATTTTAACAATTATTACTATCCCGGTCCTATTTATAAAACCTGATTTGTAAAACTATAAATAAAATATTATAATTAAGACTGGAGATAGCATTATGTAATTCATGGTTTGTTTGTATGGAACAGCTAAATGATAGCTGTCCATCCAACAAGCCACAAGCACAATAGACATTTGACAATGATTGTTACCTGTTAGAGTTAAGATAACTTCTTGCAATGGTTCTGTATATTGGCACAAAAATTTGCAACACAACACAAACGCTAATCAAAGAAGGTTCAAGTACGAGATGAAAACGCTTCTCTGCCATGCATGCCAAAATAATCTCTACTAGTTCAATTGTAGGAGCTAAGTACACGAGATTCAGCCACTGAGGCCGCTATGAAATTAGAAAAGATGGAAAGAGATGAAAAGAGCATAGAAGTGCAAAAGCCCCGTGTATCTGACACTTTTATTTAGAATATAGCCCTTTTCTGAATTTTCAATTTTGACACTGTCTGGCTTTCAAGTACTTAACAAGATGCAGATTCAGGCACGGCTAAGACGGCGTGTGGGCGGGGGAGGGAAACACCACTTGAGCCGGAGGCGTTGAGAAGGGAGATGTACGGCAATTAGGGCAGGTGGGCTGCATTCTAAGCCAAGTGTCTATGCATTGGACATGGAAGAGGTGGCCACATTCAGGTAGCATCCTGACCACATCAGTGTCTTTATAATCCGACAAACATATAGAGCAACACGTGGCGGCGTGGGATTGTTCTGAGTCCCTGTGTCTGGCCTCACAAAATAGCAGCTTGGGGTAGCTCAAAATGGTGGCCTCATCTATGCCCTGCACATCATCATCCACGGATTGATCAAGAGCATTAATCCTATACAGAGGCAAAGTAATAGGAATGCGTGAGCGAGCGCATAAGTAGGAAACAATGGTGAGGGCTGTGATGATAACCAGAACTCCAAAGGAAACTCCAACGAAATACCAGAATCCTGACGCTATGAACCCACCTGAACCTGTTGCCTCCTTCATCTTCTAATTAACTTCATTACTACTCCAACCAACGCAAAATGGCATCACTACTATATCAAATCAAACCCCACATTCAAGTCAACGGTGCCAATTTATTTGTGTGTGTGTGTATCCATCTAGGCCAGCCTCATGCATTATTAACCACGCCGCCTCTAGCTTCAATACAGGCCATTCCATGATATTTTTCTATTCCATTTTTTATCAAATAATTTCATTTCTATAGTTTGTTGGGGAAATCCCAAAACCTGAGTTGAATTTTAAAATTTTAAATTAGTATTGATTACTACACCTGAAAAGCAAATGACAACATATTTTTATAGTAATTCCTGATTTAAAATTTTAAGATTCTAACAGTTATTTTTTTAAAAGATTTTTCCTAGTTTGTATTCACAAAGCCGCCGTACAAGGGTGTGAAAGATACGAAGAGGAAACACATAAAACGAGCATTTTTATTGCCGTTTTCTTTACAACTATGTGGATGAATTTACATAGCGATCGAAACGGATATATGCGAGGCAGAATCAAATCAACCATGACTTTATTATTAGTCTCTCACAGTAGTACTTCGCAGCGCATGCCCTCTTGGAGGTCTGGTCATCACTGTCTTTTATGCGAAACTGACTTAAAAATTCTTAAAATTTGATTGGCAACAAAAAACGGGGAAAAGAAAAACAAAATATTAAACTATTTTGCTTCCCCAGTATCACGCGGAAGGCCACTTGCATGCCAGACGACATGAATCAGGCCATTTCAATTCGAATAATAAAAATGGCACCCGTGTTTGATTGGAAGTTATGTATGGGCCTTATTAAGAACCAAAATGATATGGGCTTTGAGTCTGACGCTTTTATTGCAAAACAAAAAAGAGTCTTACGGCTCTTTTTTTTTAAAAAAAGAAAACCAACGTCGTCTCCAGAGTCTTACTCTTTCCAGTTTAACTGAATTAAAATTCAAATTAATCAACAGTATAACAGTTCATAAAAAATCGCAACCTTTGATGTCTTTTCAAATATACATATTACAGTTTAATAAAGATTTGTTTGTACCCCCGTATTTAAATATCAGATTTTTAACAGTATATAGACTGTGTTATTGGCATACTTTGAATAGGGAAATGTAAATCTAAATTACTAGGTGACTTTAATATCAAATCGTATTTGCAAAAAAGCGTTCTCTTTTATTTTGAATTAATAATATTTCATAAATAAATGAGATCTAAGTTAATAAATTGCTAGGTGGAGAACTGCTGCCCTAAAGACAATAGCTTATACGCATTATACCATTCCCATCAACTTACGCACGTTAAATAAATTTTGAATGAATGGGTTAAACGACATAATGTTCCATTCAATTCTTTGAAAAAAAGACAAAAACTTCGTGCAAAACAAAATTGAGCACAAGTAAATAGTACTACCTCCCATCAAAATACTAGTAAGTTAATTTGAATAAATTAAGTATCCATTTAAAATGATTTATAAATAGATTTTTATAATTTACATGATATATGAAGTAAGCATATGAAAATAATTTTATTTTAACTTACATGAAACGTGTGTATAAGTGATTTTAAAGGTTAATTCTAACAAGACCTAAAATATTAATTAAGGTAGTTATTTGTAATAAATATGTATTGTATTTCTTAAAATTTCTTCTTACTAATCATTGTGTAATTAAAAGTACCATATGTATTGTATATACTTAAATTTTCTTACTAATCATGTGTAGCAATTAAAGTACCATATGATCAACATATACAATTATTATAAAGACTATTTTAAAAATATATTTAAAAAAATAAATTGAATCTAATATTTTAAATTAAATTAAATATGAAATTAACTCTGATATGGGCAGCTCCCACAACTTAATGTTTAAACTCTAAACATAAATTTACTTCCCCCAGGACGCGTGCGCAAAGCGGCAAAGGGACCTAAAACGAATAAACGACACTGACTTACATACGGCCGAACAGCGAAGCCGAAATTTACGCGGAAAAGTAAAAAATAAAAGAAAAGAAAAAAAAGGTTCTCCAAGGGCAATGCCTCCCGCACACGCCTACCGGCTCAGCGTCGCGTGACCTTTCCGCCCAGGAACTCGTGGCCGAATCAACTTCCCAACACACCATGGCTGTGCTCAGAACGCTAGCGACGTCGTTGATGATCGTGATGGCGGCGGCGGCAGTTTTCGTGGACGCAGGAGACACGAATGGAGTGTATTCTCCTTGCATGGACTCTAAGGTGGAGCGGTCTGACGGATTCACCTTTGGGATTGCATTCGCATCGAAGGAAAAATTCTTCTACAACAACACTGTCGAGTTATCCCCTTGCGATAGCAGGCTTGCCCTCTCGTCTTCCAACTCTCAGATCTCTTTGTTCAGGCCCAAGGTCGATGAGATCTCACTCCTCACTATCAATTCATCTTCTTTCACTCCGGTTCGTTCCCTTTCTTGCTCTCTCTAAATTTGCGAGTGAAATTTCTGGATAGGTTGTTCGTTTCTCTAAATTTGCGAGTTATCAGGAGGTTTACGGGACTGAGTTTGATTGGGGGAAATTATTGTAATATTTTATTTCTTAGGGTTTTTGTAGAATTTTTCGGCGATTCGATTTGCAGTTGTTACTGTTGCCTATGTAAGATTAAAGATGATTAGGCGAGTTATTTGGAAGTCGATGGCGAGTTCTTTATTGTTGATATTATTTTGCATTATGCTGCTCAATAGAGAATTTGAGTTATGGTGGTTTTGTGCAAGTACGCAACCTTGCGCTTCTGGCCTCTAATAGCAGCAAAACAAATAATGATTCAACCCGCCCTTGTCGAGTTTAGGTTCTTCGCAGTAACATTGTGCGGCGTTGATCCAGCTGCCCATATTTTTCCTAGCGAACATTAGTTGGATTATTTTTATTACGTAAATAGGGTGCGGTACCTTTCTAACATCTGCTCTGATAAACTCATTGAACTGTCTGTTTTTTGTGAATTAGCGTGTATATGACTACTTTTCTGTCTCTGGGCATTCATTAAAGTTCTTGATGTGGCCAGGACACCTATGGCCATATGGTTGCGTTTGCTGGTAGCAAATACGCGGCAAGGTCTCCTCCTGCATTTGTTGCAAACAACACGTTTACTGTGACTAGTTTTACTCTTGTAAGTAGATAATGAAAGTTCCTTTCGAGATATATATATTGGTTTTCCATATTGTTTTTGAAGACCATAATCCTTATTGAGAAGCAACTGAAATTTGGCATTGCAGATCCTTGAGTTTAAGAGGGGCAGGCTGCAAAATTTATATTGGAAGAGAGATGGTTGTGCTAAATGCTCAGGAAACTCCAACTTTGTGTGTCTCAACAATCAAGACTGTGCACTGAAGACTACCAGCTGCAAGAGTCATGGAGGACCTGTGGATTGTAGTATTGGGATACAAACGGCGTTCTCTGGTACAGATAAACATCTTTCGGTTCTCAACTCCTGGTATGAAGTAGAAAAGCTCCGCCAGTATTCACTTTATGCCCTTTATTCCAATCTGAGGGATTCCCTCACTAGTCAGTTTAACAGTTTCTTCTGATGCGCTTTAGGCGATGCGTATATTTCATTTATGCTGTTATGGTGCGATTCATGTGTTTGCTTGCATTCCATCAGGTTTTATAATCACGCATATTCTTATTTCCCCTTTCCAATCGAAATACAGTTGTGAGAACTGAGAACCATGGTGTGTAAATTTGTATATTAAAGCTTATTTTTGCACAAATAGATTATGTGTGAATTTGTTGCCTATTGTTCCTTGCCTCCGAGATGGATCCAGGACGACTACTGTCATCTTTTAATTCCCATAGTCCTGTTCCTGCAGCTGGCAACCCAACGTCACTTCCCATAGTCCTGTTCCTGCAGCTGGCAACCCAACGTCACTTCCTTCACCTAAACTTTCAAAGCTTCCCCCATTATTTCCACTAATACTTGGAAGTGGCGCTGGCCACTTCATATGGTCACCTCCGAAGAAGAAAACAAAGGGTAAGAAAGAGAAATGCCATTAATTGGAGCCATGGTTTTGCTTTAGGGCCCAATTGTGGATGTGAGATTAACGCAGGCCGAATCTCTTTTTTCTTTTTAATTATTATTATTTACTTCTTTTCTTTTCTTTGCTTTTTGGGCTAAAATATGGGCTTGTTCAGTGTTCATTACTTCAATTTTGAAGTGGTCGTATCTCGCATAAATAACACAATAGACCACTAATATCATTGACTGAAAAATGAAACGACGCTCCACATGACCTGTACGGTTTAAATAAATTATTAATAATTCCTCTCGCTAGCCTAATTCCCGCTAGACTCGTTGATGAACAAAGTCTTAAAAACCAGATCACTCTATATTTCTTTTTTCTTAAAATTCAAGGTGATTAATAAACTTTGAGCACAAAACTAATTTAGTAAGGGGTTTAAGTAATTAAACTTGGTCCGGCAAAAAAAAAGGTCAGAACTTCCCATTTAGGTCCTTTACTTTCCCTCGAGATTGCAATTTCGTTTGCGAGCTTGGTATTCAAATATGCACTTGTTCGTCGTAAGTATCTCCACTAATGTTGCCTAACCCACAACAAATGCGCATTGATATTAAATAATTGTTCTTAGTGTCTTACAATATTAGTTATATATAGTTCGTCATCGCGCAATGATAAAAACGTCCAACTTTTGCTTCATTGGTGCCTCCATCACAAAGAATTAAGAAAGTTACGAAGAGATAGTTGCAGAAGATTATTAGGCAGATTTTTCAATTTGTAATAATCCAAAGAAGAATTGTTTATAATAACTTGACAATCGGATTGTCCAAAATCTAATCAGCTCTATATGCAAATGACATGGATATAGAAACGCCAAGCCATTTGTTTGATGCTTAGTGGTTACTCCACTTCTAAACCTATCACACTCTTTATCATTCACTCTGCCACAAATGACGAAAACAATTTAAAAAGTCGAGTATGATTAGCGTTGATTTGTCTAAACTGTGTTAGTTTGCAATCATATTCACAAAAGAGTACGATTCTCTCATATTACATAGATATTAAATGTGGGCACTTATTATAAGTGGATTCGAATTTTGGCTTATCATCTTGTGAATGCCTAGTTCTTTTCGCTAGATTTAACTTTCATTAGTTAATCATTCACCATTTTATCATCTTAAGAAGCAAAGGAAAAGGAATTCATTCTGATTATACATACATACAAATATTTGTTCCCAGAAAAATATTATTCGTATGGGGAACATTGGCAGAAGTGCAATGTATTATGAGATATCCCGTATAAATAATAAATAATTTAATCAAAACCTTGTTTAATCGAGCATATTTGTGTTTAAGCCCCAGCAATTGATCTGGATCGTGAGTTCCATAAACCCTAACAATAATAATAATTTTGAATTAATCGAAGCGTAGCGTCAAAAGCGTTTTTGTCTGAACTCTGAAGTCTGTATTGTTGCGAAAGAGTACTTAGATGTTGATTTGCCATGATGTCCACTACCTTTTCTTGGGAATAAAGATGTGATTTTGGACGCATGCTCTTCCTTTTCTTCGTTTGTGATCATCGCTTCTGTCCCTTCACATCACGTTGACCTAATTTCTTGGATCTTCTTCCTCAATCTTCCCCCTATTAGTTTGCCTTCTTCACCTCTCCATTTATATAAATTAAATCCTCACTACGATACTGTGGTTTTTAAACACAATCATTGCTTCATGTTTACTGTTACTTGATTTGCTTCCCCGTGTAGTTTTCATATTTTATCTGTTCGATCAGTACTGCTTCTAATTAATGTATAATATGTTTGTTATTATATATAGATTAATAATCCTTTTTTTTTTTTTTGGTTGCTTAGTGGAAGAGCAAATTAATGAATTCTTCACGCTTAATTTGTCATTTTATGTCATTCGCATCTATGTGTATATTTTGTGAATTTTCTAGTGCGTTCATTATGCACTTACTTAATCTGTTTTCGATCTTCCACTATAACATTTTTATGTGTTCAAATTAAAGTTGATTTAAATTGAACCCAAATCATGAACAGGAACAAACCCAAAGTCAGATCCACTATTCTGCTACACAGTTGCCCTTAAATCCCTAGTCTTAAATCCGAAAATCTGAAGACTGAGGTGAATATTGTAGACTCTATAGGTTCCGTGTCTTTCTCACCCATTAAATCATCCATAGCAGACTTTGCGTTCAGCGAAAGGTTAATTTTGCCAATATTAATATTTTATGACATCGAAGACCTTCTTTTCTAAGTAACAAAATTGTATTAATAAGGTCGCCACTCAATACTGACTGAGAGACGCTAATTATCTGATGTCTGAGAAATTAAATTTACACACAGGAAAAAAAGCCACATTATCTGTGACTGATTTGTTATGAATTTATGCTTTATATTCATATATATGAACCATAATGCCAATATATATTCTCCTATCCTCTCTCTCTCTCTCTCTCTCTCTCACTATAGCTGTGTTACTGTCGAAGAGTGAGAGAGAGAATAGTGAAGCGTGAGAGTTGATAAATTGTCATAATCATTTGGGTTGACTTGCTTGGGTGATACACATCACCCCAAAAGCGATGTAAATTAAATGTGTATATAGAGATTATAGATAATTAAGCTAGTTTGCTTTTAGAATCGCTCAACAATTAATTAGCACAAAACTATATATATATAATATTCCTTTTCACTCGTCCTCTGCATCATCAATGATACCACCCTTATCATCGCCGCGACATATGACTGCTGATTGCGGGGTGAATTCATGTGTTTTCTAGTAAAAAGTTATTCACTTTCACTGTTTAATTAAATTAATTAGTTTATCCATCGGTTTAATTAGCACTAACATTTAATCATATATTTGACGTACCGCACGTACGGTATTACAGAGATCAGGACTCGAGCTCTTTCGTACGAACCTCTACTTTTACCATCAAGCTAAGTGTTAATCGTCCCAGATGCAAGCACATAGCGTATATCTCTATATGTCTAGCTAGCTATAGCTAGATGGCCATCTTTAGTTTAGCTCGTCTCCTTTGCCCACAATTATCCTGAGAACTTTAAACAAGCGACGTCATATAGGTAGCCATGGGGCGACACTTGTATAGAAATTAATACAAGTGAGGCACACACAGAGACACAAAACTACAAGACAGAAAGTGAAGGAGAGAAGAAGACGATGAAGTTGTTGAGTCATATTTGCACAATTTGGTGGACAAGACATGGAAAAGAATTATAGTGTAAGACATAAATAGAAAGGAGGGTGGGTGGTGTTGGACGAACAAAGGAAGCATAACACTACTATATAGATCCACACTCAAACAAAAGCGTTATATCCACTTTGTACAACGTGCATGTCTCTTTCCCCCACTCTATATTATCCCCCACCCACTCAAAGCCATGTATATCCAAAATGGTGGTGCTAGTGGCGTTGGTGTCTGATAATTAATTCATGTTTAATATTAGTAAGAGTGTTTAGATTAGTTTTTTAAAAATAATTTTACAGAATTTAAGATAAATATGTGAAAAGAGCCTTGACTTGCAAAAAAAAACTGTTTTTTTAAAATGCTTTTTTGGGTTTCAACTTTCAAACACCCTGATTGAGAAAAGTAAAGTAACCTTGTTTATTATCAATCGTTGTGGAATGCAAATGTGGAATCTCCGACCTTGTTTGTCTATGTGCCCTTACGCTAGATTCCCACTTGGATTCCCCATTCCCCTCCTCCTTTTCCCTCTCCAGTCTCCACGCGTTCAAATACTGTCTCGTCGGGGTTATGTGCATGAACAAATTCAAAATATGTCCATTGTTGATTAATTATATTACCTCTTATCTTAAATATAAGAACTAGTTAACTAATTTGAATAGATTAAAAAAATAAATTTAGTCAGTTATTTGTAATAAATAGGTGTTGTCTTTTCTAAAATATTCTTACTAATTAAGTTTATTGGTTAGCACTATTATTATTAGAATGACTATCTTAAAAAAAATAAATATGAGAGGCAAGTCGATTGAGGCCTTAAATTTAAGGTCAAAGTAAAAATCAAATGAAAACTTATATCAAGGATCGGAGATAGTATAAAAGAAATAAATCAACTTACATATTCATCATGTGAACATGCACGTTCATGTCTGTGATCCATCGATTTAGTGTATCTAGCTAATTCATCAACAAGAGGTGTATGAGCTTTGTTTTCTTAAAACGAACACTACAAAGTTGTAAGACCTTGAGAGGAAATGAAAGGCTAAAAAAAAAAAAAAGGCTCTTTGATTGCCTTTACTGCTGATAAGGTTTCTTGAAGAGCGAAAGTCTATATATTGGGTCCCATTATGCCAGAAATTATTAACTACTTTTCAATAACCAAGTTATGTTCATATGTTAATAAGGTTGTTGACTTGTTAGGACTTGGTAAAGCCAGATGAGGATGTTCTTGTGTTGTTTATCTGTAAAGTTGAACTTTTTATAATTTTTTTTTTTAAAAAAAACAGATTTTGTCATTGTTATAGCCTTAGCGAGGAAGCAAGATTTAGAGGAATCGATGCCGAATATTCCCCTCCCCGCGTGCTAGTCAGCGAATCTTGCCATAGTTCTCATCAAAATTGTTTGGAAAAAAAAATACTCCTCCACCTTAATACTACTTCTCCGATTCTTAATATAAGACCCTATTTAACTTTTATTTTGATCCTAAATATAAGACCCCAATTCACTTTGTCTCTCATTTTTACTTAATTTTTTTCAAGATAGCCCTTCTAATAATTTTAG